TCTTCCCACGCACAGATACGGAGCTCGGTTGGCTAAGGGAGGCAGGGAAGGCGCGGGGAGAGGGAGCCCGGACACCCAGGTTCATTTTCGTAGAGAACCTGGCATGATCCTCATACTACGTGGGGTGTAAGCCAGGTCACCTGTATCCCGCTTGGCCTGGATTACCCCAGATGGTGAGCTGGATCACTCTCTCCTCAAGGCTGGCTAATCCTTCAAACTCATTAAATATCTCCGAACTTACCTTGCGGAATCGCTGAGCATCTAAACTCGGGCAGCAGCCCGTGGTGGGCAGTGCCAGACCTGCACTGGCACGCACCTGGCACTGAAGCCTGACCCTGCCATAGGCCTGCAGTGACCCGAACTGTGCCTGAATTCCCAGGGAGGGCTAAAAAGTGAGGCGGGAGGAGGACTACAGTGAACAGGCTGTGTTTGGGGGCAGGGGGAAGAGGGAAGACCGTGATACCTTGCCATGTGTTTTTCGTACATGGTAGACTTTTTATACTTTTCTCTCCATGTACACACAGAAAAACCATCTTCCCATTTTTGTTGAAAATGGGTTATTATTCACAAGGGAAAGAAATGTTTGAGACCAGATGGAAACATAAAACATGACTTCCAGAGGAAAGGTAGCCAGAGGTTTCTGAAAATCTTCCCAGGTATGTGTCTGCACTTTCCATAGAAAAGGCACTAAATAATAGAAAACAACTTTCCCAATCCCTAATCCTAACTGCAATTTTTGCCTTAGCTAGAAATGAAGTTGATCCCATGAGCAGAGAATGATGAAGAAAAGGTGTCTTCAACGGTTTGAAACCTATTCTGTACACTCAGGGACCTCCAAGTTGCAGCAGGAACCTGGGCTCATGAGCCTGTACTTTCCAAAATCCTAGCTGTAACCCTGATCTTGGTCCTACCTCGTTTAAAAATGTAAAGGTAGGTATGAGACAGGAGCCAACAAGGGGTTAAGGAAAAATAGTTTTGAGCAAAATGGCATGAGTCCTCTTCCCAGCTCCAGGGGACCTCCAAGGTGCAGCAGGAACCTGGGCTCCTCGGCCTGCACTTTCCCAAATTCTAGCCCTACTCCTAGTTTTAAATCTACCCTAGACTAGAAATCTGGTCCAGTCCTTGAGAAGTGAATGACAGAAGGTAAATTAGCACTTTAAACCAAGATGAGCCCTTTTCTCTTTTCTCAGGGTTCTCGATGCATTGAGAATTTAGGTTTCTCAAAACTGTTCTTGTCCAAACCCTTAATCCTATTGTCAGCTGTCACCTTAACTTTCAGTTCAAGTACTGTACATTTCAGAGATGTGAAATTAATCATTAAATAGTAAAAAAAGGACCGGATCCCTTGGAATCTCTTCTTCTTACTTAAGAGTGCCCTGTGTAGCCGCATGCATTAGTAAATACAGTTATTGCTGTTGCTGATAACAAGCCACAAGCTTTGCGTGAAGTTAACACAGGCCGGAGGGCTTGTGAGGTTTTGTATGGACTAGTCTCAACTAGCTTGGAACTTTGTTTCAGCTTGTTTATCTGCATCAGGAATTGTCTAATGAGCAGGTGGCTCTTATCTTTTTTGTTTTAGTTTTGCTTAGCTTTGTATAATTGGTATAACGTCTGTTGTTAAAAGTTTTTATATAAATAGGAATAGCAAGTAATTCGGCTGTGTAGGATGAACTATCTGTGACCCTAGACTAATGATGAAGCATAAAAGGTTATAGTAACCTTACACCATAACTGTAAGGTTATGGTGCAGTAGTGGTGGCTGCAAAGGTTTGAGTGTAGGATAATATCAGAGGCCCCAGGGCTTTCAGTAACTCACCAGTGAGGGCACTGCCAACCTAGGAGCTGGGTAAAACCAGTTGTAGGTATAACAGAAAAGTGTCTTATGTGTATAAACCCTACCATAAATAGTAAAGTTAGGTGCAGCATAAGAGTTGTGGACCAAGGAAGAAAAATCAGGGTGTAGAGCATGTTAACAAATATACAGAAATGGACCCAAGTGGCCCCTAGAGCAAGGAGGAAACAGCCATCAATACCAACATCATGCTCCTCCCGGCAAAGAAGAGAAAAAAACCCTGCCATGAACATCATAGTCCTCCCAGCAAATATCTCAGGAGGACAACTTGCTGTCACACCTCTTCCCTCAGACAAACACCATCAGCATTAGCAGCTAGAGGAACAGCGGAGAGGTAAATGTAGTACCAGAGAAAAAGCATTAGATACTAGGAGGAGGTTTTTATTACAACTTTTAACTATAATATTGTTGATGAGATGTATGTTTTTAATCTGGAAAATCTAAACTGCATTTAAACTAACTAACATTAACTGTTTTCTGTGTTTTGATTGTACAGTCAAATCTTTAAATTAGATTAACAATAAAATTTTGGCTTCTGGTATAAGATGTGGTCCTTCCTTTGACCATAACAAGATGCTTAAGCACAGCATATGTGGGATATGTAAATACTCTGGGGTAGTAGTGGTATCAAACTGGTAATCCCACCCCTGCCCTTGTACTTTAGATGATCTCCAGGAATGCATGGGATAAGATGACAAAAGATTTGCTGCGTTTGACATCAACACCTCTTCATAACTCTCTTTGAGCTTCTCATTTCAAGAACTACAGTTCTGATTCTGTATATTCCATTTCCTAAGTTTCTTCAGCATTTATTGTGGGTATGGACTCTTGAAGATAGCAAAAGAGAAAAGAAAGGATTTGTTGTAAAGAACATTATTGCTTTTGC